GGCCCGGTGGTGGGTTTTAAGACAGACTCTAGCCGAGGGTCCTGCGCCCCCAACGGCTGCAGCCCACACCCAAGCGCAGCACCCCTGAAGTTAGCTCGGGGCGCCGCAGCGCCCCCTGCCGGCTGTCACCTCTCAGCACCCTGCGGCCCCCCAGTCCCACAGCCCTGTCACCTGCTGCGCTGTGTCTCAGCACCACGTCCAGCTCCGGCCTCTCCCAAGGCTGCCCAGCCCGTCCAGCTCCTCCTGCAGCCGCGCCAGCGCCCCGACCCCTCCCTCCCGGCCGCGGACCCGTGCTCTGATCTCTTGTGTGAAACTTCAGACTATATTTAGTTTTGCCCCGCTCACGTGGGCAATTGTTTGGTCAATTGCAAATGACACAGGAGACCAAACACGCGCGCTGTGCAGACCCAGAGTGCGAGAGCTCGCGAGGCTGAAGCAGCCGCCCGGCCGCGGGCTCTCCGCCCCCGATGGCCGCGGGACCCAGCGGAGCGAGTCTCAGCGCGCCTGACCCCGGCACCTGCGGAAACCACCGGCCTCCTCTGGGCGCGCTCTGCCTTCCGGGGCATCTTTCCGGGCACCCAGGTCTGCTGGGCCTGCAGAGAACTGGATGGGCTGGGGGCTCCCCAGGGCTGGCCCACAGACTCACAGCTGAGACGCCCCCTCGCGGCTCGCTGGTGCAGCTGGGGTCGTGGGGGCGGGTGAGGGGTGGGGGGTGGAAGGAAAAGCACCCTACTCCGATTCCTAAATGGTAGGATTTATTTCAATGCTCACATACAGTTGAATGAGACAAACTATTTACATAAAACATAGGTACAAAAAATATAATACAATTTATACTGTACATAATCGGAATTCTCTTATTTTGTCCCCAAAATGTTGGCAGAGAGAGAAGCGGGGGTGGGGGTGTTGTGTCTCTGAGGGGAGTTGCTTTGCTGTCAGGGACTCAAGGCCATGTCCAGAACCCACCGGGCCTGGCCTGGGAGGACGGGAGAGCAGGCGCCAGCATGGCCTCACGCAGGCGCTGCCGCTCTCTGTCAGGCTTTTCAGTTAGGGCTCCGACAGGGGTGAGCTGGCCTCTGCTACCGGGGTAACCCCCTCTCACCTTCTGCCCGGTGAGCCGGCCAGCAGTTACCTGCCCCAGGCCACGGCGAGCGCCCTAAACCCACAGTAAACAGACTGGACTCGGCACCCGAGACCCGGATCGGAGGAGACAGGCCAGAGCGGGAAGTGCGGGGAATCTGTGCTTGGTCACAAAATTTTGAAGGAAACTGAGCAATGCTGGAAGGACAGGCAGCGGGTGCCGCCGAGGCTCCCCGGGGGAACCCCAGCCCAGGGCAACAGGCCCCACCCTCCGCGGTGGCAAAGCGCCTCACTGCACAGCGCGGCGACGGTCCAGTGCTTCTGCAAAATCACGTTCACGGTCAGGGAGGGACTTTGCGCAGGTTCACCGAGAGCTGCGCTGGCTTCGACGGAGCTTCAATGACAAAAAAGGAGCCATCCCAAGTACGTTTATTTTGAGTCACGAAACAGCAACAAGAATCAACACAGAACGCAGAGGTAACACAGCGCCTCCCACAGCCGGGAGCCTCCAGCGGCCTCTGCCGGCCAGGACTGCTGGGGTCCTGGGGGAGGGCGGCGGGCGAAGGCCGCAGCTCCCCTCCCTTCCCGCACCCGGGTCAGGAGGGGCAGGTCTGTGGGCGCGCGGGCAGTCCCACCGCCTCTCCGCGCCCCCAGCTCTGTGCCGCGGCCCCTGCCGCGTCCGACCGGCCGGCATCTCTTGGGCAGGGGCGTCAGGCGCCAATCCCGAAATGCCCACAGGCGTGGCCGGGCCTGCCAGCTCGAGGAGACGCCAAGGCGGCTGAGCTGTCCGTGCGAGCGGCCCCAGGTAGGGACGGCGAGACGGGCTCCCGGGCTCTGGGGGCGTCCTGGCAGCTCAGTCCGGCTACTTCCTGCACCTGCTCCAAGACGCCCCGAACCACAGCCAGTCGAGCCTCTGCGCCGGGCTGGCCGCCACACGCCCAGGCCACCGTCGTCCGCAAGGCACCGGCGACGCCTGAGGACGCCAAACTGCACGTGCGCGGGGCCGCGGCGGTTCCGACTCGCCAGAACCCAGCTTTGCGCCGGCCGCGCTCGTTAACATCGGGCCGTGAGCGGCCACGGGAAGCCTGGTCCGCTCGGATCGCGGGTCTGGGTTCTGGCGATTCGTGAGCCAGGGCGCGATTTCTCCTGCCTGCTCGACGCGTTTGCTGGGGACGGCCAGGCCGGCTTTCGGGTCTCCTGTCCCCCGCAAGTCCTGGCCTCCTTGCCCGGCACCGCCCCGCGCCCGCTCGCAGGCTCCCTGCTGAAATGCCGGGTCCGGGCATTCCGCGCGGCTGCGTTGCTTGTGCAGGTTCACGGAGGGCAGAACCGGGAGGGCTTCGGAAGACGCCGCGCGCGGCAGCTCCCACAGGGACGCGCGTGGGCCTCTGCGCGGCTCCGGCGCTGCTCTGGGTCGCTCCACGGCTGCGCGCGCCGAGTTCTGCCGCTGCAGCACGTGCCAAGGCTCGGACACGCAGCGTGTCACCACCGTGCCCAGAGAGACGCAGAGCGTGTCTTCAACAGAGGGAGCATGGTGCATCTCAGAGGCCCCAGCCGTCCACCTTGTTCCTAAGTCTGGATTTCTGGGAGCCCGAGGGCAGGGCAGGCAAAGCCGAGCACATCCCCGGAACCCCGGGGCCAGCACAGCACAGAGCATCTCGAAACTGGGGACTGGTGACTCCGCCAGCGGGCGGGCGGCCGGACCGCCTGGGCCCTGCCCCCGCGGACACACGCTCCTGTCCGCTTGCAGCTGCCTCCTGGGCGCTCCTGACCAAGCCAGAGCTCGGCCACCCGGGCCCGAGAAGCCAGAGGCGCAGACGGGCCCCCGTGCCTCAGAGCAGGTGGCTGGCCAGCGGAGGGGTCAGGCTCGGCCGTGTCACGTAGCAGGGCGCCGCGGGAGGTCGGGAGGGGTCGGCGTGGCCCCCGAGGCTGCACACGGGCCGCGTCACCCCAGGCCGGAGCTCGCACACGAGTCCACTGAAGTCACTGTGTATTTCCCACCTCGCCGCGTGGCTGACCCGAGCGCCGGCTCAGACAGCCGGGCCACAGCCGCTGACCTCGGCGCGCTCTCTGCTCCGGGTGTGGATGCCCCGTCATCTCTGGGGGTGAGATGCCACTGCACAGAGGGACCCCCGGGTGCTGCACAGCAACCGCCAGTGGGCGTCAAAGACACCTGGCTGAAGAACTCGAGGGGCGCGGCTCGTGCGCGCTCACAGTGCTGAGGTGCTGGGAACGTCCAGGCTCGGGAGAAGCCCAGGGGCAGCGGCGGGGTGGCTGCCCAGTCGCCCCACGGCAACGCACACAGAAGCGTCGGCCAGCACACACTTGCTCTGTCTTCAAAATAAAACCTGTGATGTTTTTATAGCGATGCGTCCTCTCGGGAGCCCGGAGACGCAGAAATCCCTGTGCCGAGTCTCCTCTGCAGCTGTGCAAGGGGCTGGCAGCTCTCCCGAAGGCTCCGGACAGGCAGTCGCACCGCGGGCTCTGACGGCCTCGCAGGTCAGCGTTTTGCAGATAAAGAGGGAAAAGGCCCCGCGTCCTGCACTAACACTCCTGCAGCCGGGCACGGAGCCTTGAGGGTTCCGCAACAGATGCCGACGCTCCTGGGGTGCAGCTCCGCTCCTGGCCAGCGCCACACTCAGCTGGGCGCCCGTCTGCCGCTTCCCGCTTTGGCATCACTGTGAGCCCGAGGTGGGCCCCTGCTTCACCTGGACCCCGGGGCTGGCCCTTCTGGGACAGACACTGCCCAGGGTGGGCTGAGCCGGGACCGGCCTGTGGTTCCTCCCCGGCTCCGCGGGCCCTGCCCCGTCACACTCTGGGAGCTGACCGGGCTCGGTCCACCTGCCTGCGTGGGTGGGCAGGCGCCTGCAGGGGCTGAGGCAGACACCCGCGGGGGTTCCCGGCAACCAGAGTCTGGCTGTTGCTTCCACGGTCCACCCGCGCCCACCTCAGCCAGGGCTGTCTGCTCTCAGCTTCGCGAGGGCCGTGTGTCCTCACCCGCTTGGGGAAGCTGCAGGCTGTGCAGTGGGGGGGGATCCCGGGGCTTCTCCTTCCCACAGGGGAGGTGCACTGGGAGTGAGATGAGGGGCCCCGCGTGCAGACTGGAGAGCACCTGGGCACGCTGCGGCCACGAGGAGGGGAGGTAGGAGCCTGTTTCTGACGGAAACCGCCAGGCACGAGCCACTCCAGGGATAACTCTGCACGTTAAGCTGATCAGCGAGGCTTGCTGTCAGGGTAGACACTAAGGCTTAGAAGCATCAGACTCTATTTGTG